TAGATTAAGAAAGACATTTGTATCAAGGAAGCAAACCAACCCAGTTGAACCCAAGTCCATGGGTCAGCTGCCAGCCAGAGCCCCCTCCAGACTGACACGCAGCTCCTGGCTGATGAAGCTGGAAGGCCAAGCGGGAAGCAGTGATATCACAGGTCAGTGGGTACAGAATCTTGTGGGCCCAAGGCTGGCAGAAATATTATAGGGCACCAACTGCTCCCTGGATTGGCAGGCCACGTGATTCCCACCCCGGGTCCAGGTGCAGAATCCAGGCAAGCAGGAAGGTGAAGAGGGGCAAGAGAGAGAGACTAGTCCTGTACAGCATTTCACATAAGTCGACCAAACCCCCAAGTAGGGATCATCAGGCTGTGACCTGATTGATAGGTTGTATGCCATCCATACCATAACATAGGTCAATCAATTTGACAGAAAATCTAACCACCATGGCGGCCAAGTGCAAATCGGTTTGCACCAGCCAGGGACTCCCCACTAGATCTGGAGAGACGCTGCTAGCTGGCACTGGCATTCCAACCTAGCTGGGACTTGGCCACTCGGTCCCTGCACAAAAAACACCTCCCTCAATCAGGGGCTCATTCTCCCTGAGAGAAGTTCCACGTAATATTGACCCAGCAATGGCTCAGTTAGGAGCAATTACGAAACCATTGCTCAGAACATTCCAGATTCAGCACTGCTGGGCTGGCATGGGACCTGGCTTCAGAGCTGCTGCCCTGTCTCCCACAGGCAGCGGGGAGCTGCTGGTCTTACCTTTACTGTTGAAGAGGTGATTATGCTCCAGTCCGAGTGTGAAATGAATCTCGCATACTGATTGGGAAGAGCCTGCAGGTTGGTGAACGTGGGCCAGGGCCAGCGGAGGGAAGCAGAGGCGAGTGATGGACAGATGGCGGGGAGGGGAGTTTGTCAAACGGTGGTGGCTGGTGTTGCTATGAGTCCTGGTGTCTCAGATACCAATGTGGTAACCCATGGTAGACAGGTTTCAGCAGCACTCCAAACTCACTGCCAACGAGTCCATGCTGACTCATCGCAACCCCCTAGCCCAGAACAGAGCTGCCCCTGTGAGTTTCTGAGGCTGTAACTCTTTTGGAGAGCAGGAAACCTCATCTTTCTCCCATGGAGAGGCTGGTGAGCATGAACCGCCAACCTTTCAGTTAGTAGCCCAACTCATAATGTCCTCCACCACCAGAACTCCCTTCCAGACGAAGTCAGACTAGATAGAAAGGATCTACTTCCAAACACCAGCCATCGAAACCTTATGGATCACAGCACACTTTATAGGATTTGTTTGCTCTGGACAAGCATCAGGAGGGATCAGTTGCTGAAGGAGGACATCGTTTTTTTGCCAAGCATGGGGTTGTCGAGGGTGGGGTGTTGACATCGATTATCACAAGCATCGCAAAGATGGACTCCCACATGCTGAAATCACGAGCCGACTGGCGATGTTTCAGTCTGTTGTCCATAAGCCACCATGAACTGGAGCTGAAGAGCAGGCGGTTGTCTGCCTTTTATGCCTCCCAACAGAGTTTTGAGGCTGGGCAGAGTCTTCTTGAGAGGATGGTTGGAGTTCACCCTTAAGGGTCTTAGACTGGACTTGAGAAAGACGGCAGAATTTCGTAGCATCCTCAGTAAGAATCTGTATTGCTGGGGCCCTCACGAGTGACACAGCCCTGGCTGGCCCTCAGTGTTCAAGTTTAAAACAAGGCTGTGAACCAATCCCCTTGGATATAGGAATCTGAATTGAATTGAACTGAACTGGATTGTGTGCCCCACCCTCAAAGTTCCATTGAAGTACTAAGCCCTGTACCTCCACATATGATCCTGTAGGGGAAGAGGAGTTTTCTTTTATATAGATGAAGTCATAGGAAGTAGGGTGGGTCCTAAACCTAATCCCTCCTGGAAAGAGTACAATAGGCATAAATACACCCAGGGGGAAGAGTGGATCAGGAGCCATCCACCGACCAAGGGATGTCAAGGAACATTCACCTGTAGACCAGTGCCCTGATTCGAACTTCTAACTGAAAAACTGAGACTCTGTGTATGGTTATGTCAGCCCTCTGAGCATCTTGGGTCCCAAGGCCCCCATTTCACAGGAGAGAGAGGCCCATCTCTTTTCTGCCTCCTGGGCAGGTGCCTAAGATCCTTGGTGGCTGGTGGCTGTGTCTCTTTATCCAGTGACCTGCCTCTGAGCCTGGAAGCAAGAGACAGAGACAAAGAGGAAAGGACAGGGATACCACGGAAGTCATTTTCCCTGTGTTTCACTGTAAGCTTTCCTTTGGGTAAAGCTTGAGGGCAGAGTCGATTCAATGAAAAAGTCAGTCTGTCTGGGCTAAGAAAGCAGACAGGGAACCAGACTGTGCAAGCCTTGTGGTTCATTCGGGAGTACCAACTCAACTGATGGGTAGTGATTTGACTTGGGGGTGGGTCTGAGAATTAGGAGGCCCGCAATATTGTTGTATTCATAGTTTAATTTTCATCATTTCCTATTGAAGGGATTATGTGCCTTCTCGCCCAGGTCACCATCAAAATGAGAAGTTATTCCTAGAGGATCTTATCTGGTACAATAAATGGATGAAATTGCTGAATTTATTAACATCTAAATTAAAAAGTCTGAAAAATTGAGTTCTAATTAATCACTTGCAAACAGCTCTCCCCAAGGATAAGATAACAGACCCTTTAGCCACAGCAAGTAATTTGAGACCTATTTTTTTTAGACAATAATAATATTTTCACAGCAGCTCATATCAGAGGAGTTCAAAGCATTCCCACCAATGTTAATTATTTAAAGATGTTCTGAGACTGAAGCAGATAATTACTATTTTCTCAGGTTGTCTAATGAGGGGATGGCTGCTGAGAGGGAAGGCCCAATGCCTTTGCCCAAGGTCATGGTCTGGGCTGTTAGGAAGAGGATCAGGAAATGCATGAAACTTCCCTGACCTTGAGCCCTGGTGGCCTCGTGGGTTAGAAATTGGACTGCTAACCACAAGGTTGGCTGTCAGAAACCACCAGCTGCTCCCAGAGAGAAAGGCAAGGCTTTCTGCTCCCCTAAGTTACAATCTCAGAAACTCACAGGGGCAGTTCTGCCCTGTCCTATAGGGTCCCTGTGAGTCAGAATAGATTGATGGCAGTGAGTTTGGTTTGGTTTAGTTTGTTTGTGGCAGTGGGAGACCTAGATGCCCAGGTGAGCAGTCACATCATGTTTCTCCACATGGTCCCTCACCGGCCCGGCAATCTCTGCCAGTAGCCTCCTTATAGGCCTCTGGCAGACCCTCTAGGCCCACCTTGCCACACACACATGCTGACAGGGACCCCCAGCCTCTGGCCATCTCTGGTGGGAGCATTTGCTCTCTAGAGTGACTTCTCTCTTTTCTGAGTCTATGGGTGATACAAGCATCCACCCTGTTTGACTGCTAACAGAAAGGTTGGAGGTTGAAGCCCACCCAGAAGTGCCTTGGAAGAAAGGCCTGGCAGTCTACAGCAGAAAAAAAAAATCCTTAACCACACTAGGGGGCCGGGTCTACTCTGACACACAGGGACGTTGCACTGAGTTAGAGCTGACTCAGCAGCTCCTGGCTGACGAGTTTGCCTCTCTGGGCCGCTCTAGGGTCTGGTGCAGGTACAGAGACCGGCAGCAGCAGCCTCATCAATCCCGTGTAATATCATATGCCTCACCATGGAGAAGCAGTGACATCCATCTCATCGGGGCTGAGGTCATTAAATGCTGGACCAAATATAGCAGGCTAATTTTTAAGTTGGTAATTTTGTAAGGCCCCGAATGATGTTATAAATATCCCAGTGGCCCTTGGCTGCAAAAAGGGCCCCCACTCTGGTCTCCTGGCACCTGGGCTGCACTCATGAGGGAATCCTCCTCTGAGGGAGCATGGGGCCGGCCCCGCCCCTCCTGGAGCTGCCCCCTCCGTCAGGCCAAGACCCCTGTAAGGTGCTGGGGACCTCACTGTCTTCCCTATCTGGAGCTGGTGAGTAAAACCAACACAAAACCATTTACCCCCATGGGGGACTCACCAGTGCTGGCACACTGGATCCATGCCAGTCCCAGGCCCCTGGGCATCTCTGTGTTATAGACTTCACCTCGCCACACTGAGCCTGGTGTGGTAGGGAGAGCAGGCGAGATGAGGTCTCTTCTTATGGAGAGGGGAAGAAACTGACATGGCCCGAGCCTGGTGTGGTGGGGAGAGCAGGCGAGATGAGGTCTCTTCTTATGGAGAGGGGAAGAAACTAACATGGCCCTCGGACTAATGCGTCGGGCAATCTATACATGCTAGCCCGCTAATTGCTTACAAAATAAGGCCACTTTCAGTTGTTTTTTTTTATATCACAACATTGTTTATTATGTGAATTTTACAATACAAACAAAAAAATACAGAAATGCAATATATGAATACAGCTAAATGCAGAATGGTGACTTTTTTTTCCCTTTAAGAGGCCATGATTCCCATTTCTAGTAAAATAAAGAGACTGCACATAGGTAGAAACAGTTGGTCGTTAGCTTCACAATTTTGTCTAGAAGTGATCTATAAATGCATTTCCCCCCTGCTACTTACCATAGAGTGTAAGAAGGGAGTTAAAGAAAAGTTTCCTTGTTGGTTCCTACCATATGAAAGATGCTATATTCTATTTTAGCAGGGCCAATATATGGAAAACATCTAAATTAAATGTTATTACAAAAAATGAAGCAGTAATGAGGTCCTGGCTAAAGAGGGAACTAAATGAGAATAATATATAAAGAATCCAAAACAAACAAACAAACAAAAATGGTTGTTATAAAAAAAGCTCTAGGTGCACTGTAAGCATATAGGTTCTTTGTTTTTCCATGTGTATTTTTAAACAATGGAAGTGTCAAAAATAGGGTCAACTGTGTTAGACTACATTACATTATTGTCTACGCTGCACTGCATGGAACTTCTGTGTTCTAATTATCATAGAGAAGCATAGTTTGCATCATATTATGGCAATTCATATGCCATAATGAAAACCTTCCAGAGTCCTTTATTTTGGAATAGCCTGTAAACAATCAAACCACCAGAACATGATTGTACAACAGTAATATGTTCTCTTGCATTAAATTGAAACATCTGTTTAATAAAAAAAAGAAAAGTAGGAAAGGTACTTAGAGTTGTTACTTTCTAAGTACACAATAAACCTAGACAATTCAAGGCATCTTAATCTCCATCAAGAACAACAAAAAAATAATTTTTGTCATGCTGTTAAATCCATCATTATGGATAAAACTGGTGCAAATTGGTCAAACGGATCCAACAAACACTGATGTCCAAGCTGGCATATTGGCAACTAATACGTAACTGGTGGTCTATAGAGGGTTTAAAAGATCTTCCCTTTCTTCTTGTTCTTTTCCAAGGTTCTGGAAGAGTTCTGTTGTTCTGATATACGTTGTTGAGCTTCCCAGTTTGCTTTCTCATCCTCAAACTGACGTCGCTTTTCCTCCAATTCTTTGTGCTGTGCTTCCAAATTCTTTTTCATTTGCTCATGACGCCGCTGGAGCTCAGCTTCAGAGTCCTTCAGTTTCTGAACCTTCTCTTTGACCTTCATCTCAAATACTTGCTCCATCTTCATCTCCATCTTCTTCATCTTGGCAACATGCTCCCTCCTTTCCTCTTCCATTTGTGCCAGAGGGCTCTTTGTAAGCTGTCCTTTATTCTTGTTGTTATCAACCCCATGATAAGTCACAGCTGCTAGTTTTCTGCTTCTGTAGTTCTCATAGTGCACATTATTGGTGACGTCTTTCAAGTCCTGCATGTGTGTTCTTATCAACATATTTCTTAGAATTGTAAAGTCACAATGTTCCCATTTTCAACTTCAGCAACACCCCAAGGATACTGCCTTCCTCTGACCCTTTTGCCATTAACTTCAATGATAGTATTACTACCTACCACAGCAAGAGGTAAACGGTCCTTTATCTTTTTAACAAGCTTATTTTCTTCTTCATCATCTGTTTCTGGAAATTCATATATTTTAATTTTGTGCTCTTGGATTTCTTTCATTATCTGTTTTTTAAACTGTTGGCATTCCTCTTGTGTGCGTGTGTCTGCTTTGGCAATAAGTGGGATGATATTCACTTTTTCATGTAAGCGCTTCATAAACTCAATATCCAGTGGTTTAAGTCCATGTCCTGAAGGAGCAATGAAGTATAAACAACACTGTACTCTGTTGTCAGGCATCTGTCATCTATTCACTCGAGATTCTGCATTTAGGTAGTCCTCAAACTTACTATCAATGTAATCGATAACAGGCTGCCAGCAATTACTATTATCCACTGCATCTCCAAATCCCGGAGTATCAACTATTGTGAGCAGTAACTGCACTCCACCTTCTTTGATTAAAACTTTGGATTGTTCCACCTGTACAGTTTTTTTTTTATCCTATGGGAAGCACCAGGATACTCTGGAGAATACAAATCTGTGAGGAATAATGAGTTGATTAATGTCGACTTTCCCAGTCCAGATTCACCTACTACCATAAGTGTGAATTCAAACCCTCTCTTCACTGATTTTCTGTATACTTGATTTGGGAGATTTGCAAATCCCACGTAGCCTTCAAGGTTCTTCTGTTGAACTACTTTGTAAAGAACACATTTCCAACAATCCAGTGTTCTGGATTCCAACAGAATAGAGCCACAGAGGAATAATAAATGAGGAATTTCAATAATTATAGATGACATATTCAGTCCAAATAGGAGACGCAAATCCATTGGAACATAGCCATGGTGCTGCTGTTGACGCTCCTCTCCTCAGCAGCAGTGGATCTCGCACTCCACTTTCAGTTTTTTTAAATAGGAAAACTGATGCTCACAGAGTTTAGAAATGTAGCCGAGGTCACTGTGTTAGGTAGCATTGTCTGGAGAAACAATATCAGTGGCACTCATCTGTATAAAGGAAAGAACTTGATATCAAGAAAGCGAGCCAGCCCAGTGCAGCTCAATCCGTGAGCTATGTGGACTTGAGCCCCTCCAGAGTCATGCGGTTGCCGGGAGCTGGGAGATCACAGGCTGGTGGGCACAGGGTTGTATGGATCCAAGGTTGGCAGGAACATGGCCAGGCATCAACAGCTCCCAGGGTCAGCAGGGCACATGGGCCACCAGCTCCAGAAGCTAGACACCGGTTCCAAGCAAGCAGTAGGGAGAAAGGCCAGAGAGAGAGGCCAGGCCTCCACAGCGCCTCCAGACATCATTAGGCTGTGTCCTGATGGAGAGGTTGGACTCCGCCCATGCTTTCCCACAGGTGTGCCAAGTTGACACACACCCAACCATGGCAGGCTCAGAGCTAGCACAACGAAAAAGCCAAGATTTGAACCTCAATGGTCTTTCCTTCGAAGCCTGCTTGCCTCTGTCGATAGAGAGGCTGAGACCTTACAAATGTCAAATGAGGACTTCAGAGCCTTCCGTCAATGGGTTGGGCTGGAAGTCCAGGGTCATCATGCCGACCTGACTCTTGAAGGCGAGGTCAGGCCTCACAGGAGGATGGTTGACTGTCACCATGAACTCCCACCAATGTTGGGGTTTGCAGGCCAGGAACAACTTCAAAGGAGGTCTCCTGCTTTTAGTCTGGGTGCGACTGTGAGCCCTGGGGACAAAATAGGGTCAAATGCTCCCTCTGAAGTTTGGAGCATTCTGGTCTGGCTTGGCTTTTTTGTGTGTGATAATTTTTAAATTAAAATTTATGGATTCCTAAAAATAATTTTTGTTATTGTTCTTTACTCTTGGTCATATTTTCTTTTTTAAAAAAAATCATTTTATTGGGGGCTCGTACAACTCTTATCACCATCCATCCATTGTGTCAAGCACTTTTGTACATTTGTTTCCCTCATCATTCTTAAAACATATGCTTTCTACTTGAGTCCTTGATATCAGCTCCTCATTTTTCCCCGTCCCTCCCTGCTCCCCCGTCCCCCATAAACCCTTGATAATTTATAAATTATTATTATTTTGTCATATCTTACACCATCCGACATCTCCCTTCACCCACTTCTCCGCTGTCCATCCCCCAGGGAGGAGGTTATATGTAGATCTTTGTAATCGGTTCCCCCTTTCCAACTCACCCTCCCCTCTACCCCTCCCAGTATCGCCACTCACACCACTGGTCCTGAAGGGATCATCCGCCCTGGATTCCCTGTTTCCAGTTCCTATCTGTACCAGTGAACATCCTCCGGTCCAGCTGGATTTGTAAGGTAGAATTGGGATCTGGCTTAGCTTTTATCACTGTCATCTACTCCTTGTGGTTATCCTGCGCCAACTGCTGTGAACAAACGAGCCCCCTACCCCTTGCCTGGAGGGGTGAGCCCCAGAACTTGGCATGGTATAAAGAGCTACAGCTCTAGCTGCCTGTGTTGTGTCCTGTGGAGTGGTGGAAGGAGGGGGCGCCTTCAATCACCTCTGTGATGATGGGTATCTCAGTGAGAGGAGGGAGCCCATGCCCACCTGAAGTCACTGACTTCTGCTTCAGGCCTGGGGACCATGCACAGGGGATTGTGCCATCTTGCTAATTCCTCTCTTGTGCAAATGCCTTTTTGATGTCTTTCATTCATTCTCTTCTTCACTCGCTCACTTGCTGAATGACCTTGGTGCATTTACGTCTCTATCAGTTTCTTCATCTTCAAAGTGGGAATTGATTCTTCGGGTGCTGAGGCATTGGGTGCTTCGGGGTGGAATTCTCACCCTTCCGATGGAGGGCCCAGGCTTAACTCGCCGCCAAGGTCACCCGCCACCACCACCTGGCTATCAGTGGAGGCCTGTTGGTTGCTAGGATGCTCAACAAGTTACAGCACAGCTTTCAGACCAAAGGGGACTACAAAGAGCCTGGGGATCTAATTCCAAAAACTAACCCCTTGGAGCCCTACCGATCACAAACTATGTCATGCATTAAGATGGTTGGGGCGACAGTGCTACCTCATGGGCTTGTTGGAGTGAGTGAGTGGGGTAATGTGTTTGCAGCATTTGGTCAGGACTTGACATATCATCAATGTTCATTATGAGTTGGCAAGCACTGTGTTATGATCATCATCATCAATATTACGAGCACCCATGTCTTAGCTATAAAACGTGGATGGATGTACCTCCGAGGCCTGCAGAGAGAGGGATGAGAGACGCATGGCCCCGAGGACAGCACATGGCAGAGGGGGTGCTGCTCCTTCCCTGAGACACAGGCATTAAGTGCTGTGCAACGTCGTCTTGGGACACGGGGCGAGGACAAGGCTCCCATGCTGGTGAGTGCTTGGTCTGAAGGCACCAAGGCAACTGTTAGCTGTTTTCCAGCCAAAGCAAGTTCCCACGGCAAAGGGGCATTCCTGTGGCATCTGTACCCATGCCTTTGTCTTTTCTTTTTCTTTTTATTCTGATTCTCCAAGTGTCCAGAATCCTGAGCCAGACACAGAGTCCAGATTAACATCTCCTATATTCAAGGCATGCCCTTCCATTGATCTTTTCGGGTCCCTTATCTCAGTTGACGGTTACATGATCTCAGGTGGTATGTAAACAGCATCACCCCATTTAATAAGGGCAATGGCCTTGGTCAAAGTGTCCTGCCCACTGTCCTCTATGAGAGTGGCAGTTAGCTGTACAACGATACTTAGCATCTCACAAAAATATCACAGACTCTCTGGCTCTTAGACTGCCCAGCCCAGCCCTTCCATACTCCACTGCATTTTCTCTTTGTGCGACGGCACAGCCCTGGGCTTGTTAGCAGGGCTAAATGGAGCCCTGTGCCCCAGATTCACAGCGGGAGCTCACAAAGCATCGGTCCTCTGGCCCCGTCCCATCACAAAGATCCCTTGACATCTCTCTTCTCTCGTTCTACTATTTCCATCAGCTCTCCACCTTACAGAGATGCTGTGAGGACGAATGAGACAATATCTGAGCGTGCCTTAAGCTCCAGAAGACTGACTATTATTGCAACTGAACTGTGAAGCTCTTTGCTGGGGAAATCAAATTTGATGACAGAGAGTGGGGCGAAAGGGGAGGCCGGGAGAATTGGGGTAGAAGGAGAGGAGCGAGGGAGAGGAGAGGAGAGGCAGGGGGCAGAGAAAGACTGCACACAGCAAGTGTGCCTGAGCAACTGAGGGAGGAGCTGGCTTGACCTCGACAAGGCTGTTGGCATCCCCTTCCGCACCCAGACACTGCACAACACAGTTTGAATTCACTTTCCACTACTGGCAAACCAGGGATTCATCCCATCTCAGAGGACAATAGAGGGCAGTGAGCTAGGAGCTTTGAATCCACACAGGCCTAAACAAGACTCTGTGCCCCCCTCCTAGCTAGAGAATTTGGTTGAGTGGCTCTGAATGGCACATCTTCACTGGTATAGTGGGGGTGGGGCGTGTGGAGGGACACACTCCTCCCTCCCTCTCTCCCTGCACTTTGGTGTGAAGACGGGGAGGGGTATGTGAGAAGCTCCGCTGTGAGCTGGCACCCAGCCAATGCTAGATCTGTGCCAAGTCTCACCTTTCCTCCACCTTCCCCACAGGGACGCACAGCTGGACTCATGCCCAGGACGGGCATGAGTCAGAAGCCAGTTGTTTCATAAAGAAGAATCACGTTCTTCTTCCAGCTGGACACCCTGACCCAGGTACCCATGGCTCAGGAGGTGGGAGGAAGGGCTGGAGAAGTCAGTAGGAGAAAGCTCGTTCTTCTCCACGCTCAGAACCATCTGAGCGGGAGCTGCAGGAGCCAGAGGGACGGAGATCCAAATGATAGCTTCGTAACCGCAAGGACACCAGGAGAGCACCCCTGAGACCCAGCCACTCACCACCTCTCCCTGCTCCGTCCTGACCCTGGCGGACGGCACAGGTCTTCTCGTGAGCAGGGCCTTCCCCTTGGCTCGGGCAGGCAGATCTGGGGGAGAAAGAGACCCCAGAGGGACAAAGCTGGCCATGTCCAGTCTTCTCCTGAGTGGGTGCCCCCTCCCCCTGCCCAATTCGCATCCTTCTCTGATCCTCAGATTATTACTTTATTTGGATGTAGAGCTGCTGCAGGTGACAAAATTGCGGATGAAGTGGTACTTGATGAGGGTGAACGCTTCATTCAATCAGAGTGCTGTTTTCATAAGAAGAAATTTCGAGACGCGAGCAGACACCGATGTGATGGCTTGGATTGGAATGATTCTCCAAGAATCGATCTGGCCATGCATGACTTGAACCACGGAAGGGGCGTGCCACAGAGCCTCTCTCGAGTCCTTGCGAGGTACCACCCCTGCCAACGCCTTGATTTTGGATTTCTAAAACGGTGAGCGAATTCATTTCTGTTGTTACACAGTTTGGGGTGTTTTGTTAAGGTAGTCCGTGGAAACGAATTACAAAAAAGCAAAACAAAACAAAACCCAAACCGGTAAGTCACTTCCGACTCCTGCGGGCTCGATGTGTGTCAGAGCACCACGGTGCCTAAGGATACGGCATCTTCAGGGGCTGATGGTGGGGAAATAGACCCCCAGCGCTTTCTCTAAGCCCTAGCCCCCACTCCCCCAGTGTTTGAGTTACTTAGAGGACTGATACACCCCCCCAGGCTCCCTTCCAGAGAAGTCTTCTTCTTCCCAGAGTGGATGAGTGACAGGCAGAACAAGACCACGAGCAGGTGGCTGAGGAGCACCGTTGGCCCCAACACCCCCCATGGCTCCTTTTTGGATGACTTGGCCCAAGTAGCACTTTAAATATTCCTTTGGGAGCCAGTTAATTACTGGTATCAAGAGCAGAGGTCTCCTGGGCAGGGATGCTTGGGGAGTAAATCATGCCCTTGGGTGCGTGTGGGGTGTCTACCGGAG